TTTTTTTTTTTTTTTTTACTTTGAAAGTTTTACACAAACCCTTAACTTAAAAAAATAGTATGATAGACATTATGCTCCTGTTTCTGGGGACCCAGAACTACTGCTTTTCCCCCTTGGTTCCATCTGTTTCTTCACACTGTACTTCAGACAAGTCTCAGACTTCGTGATTCTTCATTCTTACATATTTCAAAGATATCTCTAGAAGCTACAGACATATACTTTATGTCATGATACCCTTTTCACATCTGACAAAACTCCCATAAGTTAGTATTAACTGCAGTTGATCCATTGAAATTTTTTCCAATCTCAGAAACATTTTCCTTGTGTGTCCAGACCAGGAAGTAAACCCAACTCACCATTACATGTGATGTCTGTTTCTCTACCTCCCTTGTCCTGTTGCATGTTCCTGTTGCATGTTTTGGACTCTTCTTATTGTGCAGACTGTCAGACTTGCTGTCTGCCTCAGTATTTCCTGTGAACTAGAAGTTAATGTTGAAGGCCTGGTTAGGTTTGGGTTTGGGGATGAGGAAACCACGTAGACGATGATGCCATAGGCTTCAGTGCTACTTCTGTGTTGCTGCTGGTCCTTGGGCTCTGCAGCACCTCACTGGTTGTCAGGCCTGTGTGAATAGGACCTACCAGACACTCATCAGTGCAGGTCATTGGGCCTCAGCTGGGGCAAGACCACTTTGCACGTATTCAGGAAGGTCAAGTGAATGGGCCTCAGACATCCAATATAGGATAGCTATTCTGCCTCAGCTGGTGGCACCTCAGAGGGCTGGCTCTCGAGTGTCTTTCTCCTTGCCTTGTTGCTGGAAGTATTTTTACGTAGATTCTTCTAACTGTGTATTTTATTTTGAGGCTGTTGCATGTACCCTGTAAATTGGTCCTCCAGTTCCAGGGACACTGTTAAGGTGTTGCCATAGACATGAAAGGCCAGGACATGCTTCCTTGTTGCTGGGTCTGTGAACGTGGGATCTGTTGAGAATATGGAAAATCCCTGACTCCAGGTGAACAGTGTTTAATGGCTAGGTAAGGTTTTCATCCTAAAGTCTGATTATGAACACTCATCAGGCATGGCCCTGCCTGCCAAAGAAACAGGGGAGGCAGGCCCAGAGGTTCTAATCTGTGCCACCAGTTGTCCCTCTCCCTTTCCCCCTCTACCCCATGGGATGACTCAGCAGCCCTCTTGACCTCTAGAAACCCTGAGTCATGTGTGGCTCAGTTATCTGCTCCCTCAAGTATCTTCACAGATCTCGAACTTCACTCTTGGCCTGGGTGGATACACCTGCCTCGCCAGTTGTGGCCTCTGATAGGTTCCAGGGGGCCTCCTGTTCCTGAGAGCCTCCTGTATCCTCCCGTGACCTAGTACAGAGGAGCACTGGAGTGGGAATGTGGGCCCAGAGCCTTCTGGTTCTCTTGTTAACTAGGATCATTTCTGCCCAGAACTTGTCATCCTTGAGGACAGAACATATTCGGTGAACAACTAGCATAGTGTCTCTGTTATTTTACTGTGTGCCGTTATCGTATGCCCTCTTACGACTAAATTCTTACTATCAAGCTGTTCGTGTCCACCAACAGTCCGTAGTTCAGTCATGATCACAGACACTTGCAGGGTTTTGTTTAGGGAAGGCTCTATCCTGAGTGTTTTACATATCTTACTGATTTTACCTACTCAGTCATCGATGAGGGCAGAGCCACTGCTCTCCTTCAGATGCGGACTTGTGACCAACATCTTTGCTTTCCCCTGCTTTTCCATGCAGACCTGGTACAATTGAGATATGTGTGCCCCCACAGAAACGCCCACAGGACCACGTCTATGCAGCCAGTCCCAGGAATAGGAGATGGGGGCTGATAGCCAGCATTTCTGTGGATGGACTCTGAAGGAGCATAGGAAATAGGACGGTAGTGGCCGTTGGAGAGCAGTCTAGGGAAAAGGAGTGGAATTTTCTTTTGTGGTTTAAGTTTTTGCTGTGTATGCGTATTACCTTCTTTTAAACTGTCCCAGTTATGCACATTTGGGTCAGAGCGGCCTGTCTCCCGTAGGCCAATGCTGACCCATCTGTGATAAACTGTCTGCATAACCTGTCCCGGCGCATCGCCACTGTGCTGCAGCATGAGGAGCGCCGCTGCCAGTACCTCACCCGAGAGGCCAAGTTGATCCTTGCACTTCAGGACGAGGTGTCTGCTATGGCTGAAGGTGAGTGTGGCAGGCACGATCATGGGTCTGAGCTGGCTGTTGGCCTCTGTTGTGGACATTTCCCGAGGGGCTGCTGGTCAGTGTCAGCTGTGGAGATGTGGGTGGAAACTCTTCCACCCCACGCCAAAAAGCCGTCAGGAGCTAACAACAGCTTCTGGTGCACCAAGTGTTAGAGAGGAAATCCTCTCAGCTTTGGAAGACGAGGATTGTCCCTGTTTTGCAGATACGAGAACAGCAACTTAGAGAAGTAACATGGTCTTCATAGTGGGCTGATCGTGCCCTGGGGGCACAGGAATACTTCCCAAAGGCCCCATATTGATCCATGTTCCTGAGTAGATGTGCCTACATTGATTTCCTATTGGAAATACTTCTTCCCCACATACTGTATGATTACCCTTCATGTAGCACAGGCACCCCTGCTTGGCCATGGGCTTACCAGAGAAACCTTGCCCTGGGGTGGGAGGAATGTCCAGTTGGCAAGGTAGGTAGTTTGCATTATTATTTTCAGCCACATTGAAAGAGGATCTACCTGAGTTATTGACCAAGTATAAAAATAATTTTGCTTTGGCTTGGGGATTTAGTGCAGTGGCACTGTGCCTGCCTCGCAAATACAAGTTCCTGAGTTCAATCCTCACACCAAAAAAAGGTAATAATAATAACAATTTTGCTGATAGGTAACTGTGTAACTTCTATGATACCTGAAGGTGCTTTAGCATGGAAGGACACTGATGACTCTACCACCTTTTCCTGAAGTTAGCAGCTCCATACAGAAGGAGAACACAGCTAAAGTCAAACCTCATCTTTGTAGTCAAAGTAAAAAACCAGCAGTTGTAACACACAAATTAAAAAGAACAGGGGCCCGGGATTTAGCTCAGTGGTTCGGCCACCTGCCTCACAAGCACAAAGTCCTGAGTTCGATCCCCGGTACCCAAAAAATAAATAAATAAAAATAACACCTCTGCCAGGTGCGGTGCCATACCTGTTTTGTAATGTTTGAGACAGTGATTCCCCAGGTTGCCCAGGCTAGCCTGGAATATGGGATCCTCCTACCTCATCCTCCCAGAATGCTGGGATTACAGGCATGTGCCATCACAGTTGGCAGTGCATAGCTTTTATAAAGAATAGGGAGGGCCAGGGGTCTAGCTCAGTGGTGTGCTGCCTGCCTCACAAGCGTAAGGTCCAGAGTTCAATCCCTGATACCAAAAAAGGGAGGAGGTGATAGGGAGTCTTCTGATGCTTAGTTTGAGTTAGTCAAAATTTTTGAAGTTGAATTTGTTTTAAAGGTGTTCCCTATTCTAGTCTTTGAAGGTGTCTGTGCTTTAGAAGCTCTAAATTCTTCTGTGTTGTGATTCTTACAGCAAATGAAGGTCCTCAGTCTCCATTCCATCACATCCTGCCCAAATGCAAGCTGGCCAGAGACCTCAAGGAAGCTTACGACAGGTAGGACAAGTGGGCATTGCATGTTGAAACTCCTCCTCACGGGTCAGCTTCCCTGGACTGAGATGCATCCCCACAGGGGACTCTAGTGTGCTGGTGTGCAGGTGCTGGTGCTCTGCTGAGACTGAGGTGAGAGAGGACAGGAAAGGGACATTTGTATGGCCACTCGGGAGAAGTGATGTGAGTGGCCATTCTTCAAGTGACATTTCCTTTGCTGGGTGGTATATGCCCCTAGGTAGAACAGTCATTCATGACTCACTTCTCTTAGGACTGCAAATGAGAGCATGTGGTGCACACCTATAATCCCAGAACTAGGGAGGTTGAGGCAGAATGGTCACTACAAGCTTGAGGCCAGCATGGGTTACATAGTTCAGGGTCAGCCTGAACTACACAGTGAGACCTTGTCTCAAAAAAAAAACAAAACAAAAAAACAACTGAAAATGAGCCTAAAGTTGTGTATGAGTATTTTTGAATCATAAAATACAGAGATATTTATTGGATATTACACAGTGCCAGGTTCTGGGCCCCTCTTCGTTAGGTGTCACTGCCTCCACCTCACCTGTGAGGGAGCAGACATAGCAAGTGGGGCTGGGGCTGCTGTGCTGTTCTCTGCTGTGGGGGATCTTAGATCTGGGGCACTGAGTATAGGAATAGCAGGCATTGGGGATACCATGAAAACCTCACATTGATCTGATTATATTGGTGGTTGAGCATCAGCTCTATTAAATGTGGACCTGGGCCAGGGATTCAGCTAAGTGTTCCACCGCCTGCCTCACAAGCACAAGGACCGGAGCAGGTACCAAAAAAAAAAAACAAAACGGCCAGGCGTGGTGGCGCACACCTGTAATCCCAGCACTCTGGGAGGCTTAGGCAGGAGGATCGCTATGAGTTTGAGACCAGCCTGGGCTACATAGTGAATTCCAGGTCAGTCTCAACTACATAGTGAGACCCTGTCTCAAAAAAAAAAAAAAAATGTGGACCAGCAGAGAAGACCTTTTCTTTTTAAAGATTTTTCTGCTGACCACTGTTGGGTAGCCTCAAGTCCTGCTTCTGGAGCATCCTTCTGTCCCTGAAGCTGCAGTTAGAGGTGGACGCCCACTGGCAGTCCACCTGGGCCTGTGCTTTTCCTGCTCCCGCAACTCTAGCATCCATCCATGGGGTGCCTTGTCACCTATAGCTAAGGGGCCACTTTGTCAGCCAGATGACACATCTGGTGCAGGCCTTTCTCCTTAGCACAGATGTGGGCCAGTATCTCCGACTCTCCTGTGACCTTGGGCTTCTTTCTGCGTCTTCTGACTTCTATGCCTTCTCCTACTTTCTGTACTCTCCTGCTTTCTCACGTTTTCCTTGGCCATGTGTTCACTGTGTACTCCTCCCAGGCCTTTTTGGGACTTTGTACCCTGCCAGTGAGTTTTCTCCCCTCTGAATTCCCCTCAAGGGCTTCACCTGAAAACTGTGGTTGGTGAGCTTTAATGTCTATGCTCCGTGTGGTGTAAGCAGTGACATTTTTGTATAGATCCTTTAAAAAATTAAGATTTGTTTTCTAGTTTCAATGACTATTCATTGTAGACAGGAAGTTTAGAAGATAGTAAAGAAAATAAGTCATTTGTAATTCAATGTCTAGCAATAATCACTGTCAACATGTCTTTTTGGTAGTTTCTTTTTTTTTTTTTTTTTTTTTGTACCAGGGATTGAAATTGGGGCTTTGCACTTGCGAGGCAGGTGGCAGAATCTCTGAGCTAAATCCCCGGCCCATTCCTTTTTCTTAGCTGCAGCTTTTGGAAAGATCACATACTCATTTTGTGTGAAAATCCGTGTCAAGTGTCTGTTCCATTGTACCCTGGCAGGACTCATCCCAGCAAGCAGCTGTCCTCCCTCACAGATGGCTGAAGGCACACAGACTTGCTTTCCCTTTTACACAGTAGCAGCATAGTGTGCATACTCTTTGCCCTTTGCTTTTGCTATTCAACAGTGTGTGTTAGTAAATGAGGACTTCTGTGGGGCTCCAGTGAGCCAGCCCCCTCTTTTGGATATTTAATTGGTTGCAGCCTTTGGCTGTTATAAGATGAGCTACTTACACATTTGTGTGTGTGCCTCTGTATCCCTGAGATAAATTTCTGAAAGCATTATCTGTGGGTAAAATGCATGTGTGATATTGATGTGTTTCCCTCTGGGGGTTTGTGCCTCATTTATATCCCTACCAGTAACACATGAGGTGCCTTTCTCCTTAGCTTTGCCAACACTGGGTCTTGGTGAACTTTTGAACTTTAACTGATATAGGAGAATGATATCTTGGTCCTATGTTATCTTAATGTATTTATGCATTTTTGCACATCTTTGAACTGTCTGTATTTTCATTTCTGTGGGTGCTCTGCTCAGGTCTTGTGATCCTTTTTCTTTTACAGGGAAATACAGGTGCCTTAACAAGGAGGGAGATTTGTCTTTTCTGATGCCCAGTTGGAACTAGTAGTTCTTTGTTTCTTGGTGACCTCCGGATTTGGCCTTCCCAGGTGTTAGATGTCAGAGTAGCCTGAAACAGCCTTTGCCAAATGAGTGCTTTGGTTTCCTGTCCTTTCTGCACTGGAGGACTCCTCAGTACAGCCTTGATCCTGCCCCAGAGCAAAAACTTTGTGGTCCTTGTAATCAGACCCCGTCTTTTTTCTCCACATCGTATCGTTGATACTTTCTCTGCAGTGAGAGAACGATTGACTTCTTGTCTTGAATTGGCTGGTATCATAAATCCTTCCTTGCTACCATATTCTGAATGGGAATCTGCATGCCTCAACTAGAATTAGACTGTAAGCAAAATTCAGGCTAACCTGGAATGAAAAAAGCAAGTCAGTGACTTTGTACTTATGAAGGAAGAATGGACTGGGATTTCTTAGGTTTGGATTGTGGTGGAAAGTTTGAAGGAATCCAGACCTTGTCCAGGTGATTGCTTCTGTGATCTGTGGGGAGCTTCTCAGAGCTTGAAGTGGCCCAGGGTCACCTAGTATCTTGCATAGTTCAGAGGAGGACAAGAGTTAGAACTTTTGGTGATAAAGGGCCCCAGGCTTTCTGTAGTGTTCTTCCCTTGCCTGGGCATCTTGTTTGTTAGTGTCCAGGATTGTATTCACTCCAGCCCAGCCTGTCCTGGGTCCTGGAGCCTACCTTAGGGATACTGAGAGATGTACCTCTTTAGCAAACGTCCTGGTGGTGGCATCCTCTCCTGCACCCACCCCTTCCTGATACTCGAATAGCTCTGCAGCTACCCGACAGCCCTCTGGGCTGTGGGCTTCCTTCCTTCCTCATCCCACCAGTTCTGTGGGAGGCTTTAAGTACGTGATATTGATCAGGTAGTGTAGAATATATCCCCTTTCTTCTGACAGTGACTTTCTGCCAGATCCCTGGAAAGGTTTTCTCAGAGCAGAACTGAAAGACCAGCAGCTGTTAGAGTTAATGAGATTGGGAAAATTGGAGTGGAACTCTTTACAGGAATATTTTTGGACTTGGTTTTTTGTTTTTATTTTTGTTTTTTAAATACTAGGGATCGAACTTGTGTCCTTGTGCTTGTGAGGCAGGCGGTGGAACCACTGAATCCCTGGCCCTGGATTTGCTATTTTAATTATAAGCCAGGGTTATAGTGTGGCTGAGTGGACTGAAGCCCTGTCCCCTGGGACCTGCATGTCTGTGAACATAAGCTGGGAATATAAATCCCTCGGGAGGCTACCCCAGCTTTCCCAACATCTGTGTTTCCCTGTGGAGCTCTGTGACCTCATTGATAGCATCTCATCATTCATGTGACCACTGAATTGCATCCCCTAGGAGGGCAGAGATGTGTCTCTTCACTTTGTGCAACAAAGCCCTGGTGTTCAGTATGTGAAAGAGATGGCTTATCCAGTGCTGGTTAAAGGGATGTGTAATGGTAAAAGTAATGCTATAGATTCCATGGGGTGAATAATTAATTTCTTGATGCCCATCAACTGGAGACTGGATAAAGAAAAAAGTTTTTGTATATAAAATGGTGTACTACTCAGACATAAAGAATGAGAAACTAGAGACATTTATAGCTAAATGGATGCACATTGAGGCCATACTCTCAAGTGAAATAAATAGGACACACATATAAATACTAAATAGTTTCTCTGGTGTGAATAACTAAAAGTGTAAATAAAGATCAAATGTATAATTGATAGCATGAAATAGGAAGAAAGGTCTAAAGGAGTAGAGGAAGTGGGGTGGGTAGGGGAAAGAAAAGAAGGGAAAAGAAAAATGAGAAAAGGGAAAAATGGAAACAGACTTTATAAATGGGAAGGGTGGAGGGGTGAAGAGAGAGCGGGGGAATAGGGAAAAAATAACCAAGATGCATCATGTAAAGGTACAAGATCCCAATGATGAATGCAACTGTACTGTATTCCTAAAACGAACCACCAGTAAACTTATGTGAAGAATATCTATATATCTATATATAATATTTTAAATAAAGAATTAGTTTGTTGAATGGTTCTGAGTTAACAGGGCCTGCAGTCAGGTCTGGTAAGCTCAGAGGTTAGAAAATACTGTCCAGGGCGTGGGTAGACAGGTGGTACTTGGTATGGAGTCTTATACTGTTGACTGTTCAGAGCAATCTTGGTCCTGTGATACCACTGTGAGTATTCTGAGAGCTATGGTCCATATTTCCAAAAATGCATCTGGTTATAAAGTTCTGATCAAAGCTTCGAGGTAAGCCCTTTGTAGCTCCACTGATATCATTTGGGTCATGTAATGTCCCACCACATGTAGGAGAGAGCTCAGCCCTTGTGTGGGACCATTTGATGCAGAGAGTGTGGAACAATATTACATGGCTCTGTCCTAGGGTAAGAAGAGTGTGACCAGAATAAGACCAGAAAGGAAACTTTCAGTTATTAGCTGAAAGTTGGGAGTTGGCTTTCTTTCTCAGAGGCTGAAGTGTGAGGGGAATTGGATAAGCATGTGTACAGTCCGTCTTGAGTGTGAAAGATAAGAGTGGGTCGCCTCTGCATAGTCATTGCATTAGATCACTGGGCTCTGGGAGGAGCATCTATCTTCTGTCACAGACTGGGCTGGGCACTCCTGGCTGCATGAGGTGTGGATAAGTCTTGGGAACAGCATTTTCCTATGGAGTTGTTTTCACCCCCAGAAATCTTTTTTTTTTTTTTTTTTTTTGGTGCTGGGGATCAAACTTGGGACCTTGTGCTTGCAAGGCAGGTAGTAGAACCACTAAGCTAAATCTCCAGTCCCAGAGTTGTTTTCAGACCAAATCATTAACCGCCCTGAAAATAAAAGCATAGACTACAGGAAACTAGGGCCCACATCCCTGAGTCTTAAAATTGCAGGCTTTAAAAAATAGGGTCAAACCTTTTTCTTTCCTCTTCTTGACAGACTTTGGTGTGGCTCTTGGCTTACCCTCTTGCTATGAGGAATCTATGGGCTTCTGCCAGAGCTGAAGGCTGGAGGTCAGATAGGCACATTCCTAGTGCAGCTTTTCCTCCTGGTGTACTCCAGAGACTTTTCCAGGCCTATAGTTGTTCCTCGGGGTGATCTTGGGGTGGCCTTCAGTGCCTTCACACTACAGAGCTTAGAGATTGGTTAGTTCATAAAGGCTGGTAGGTGAGCAGGTGCTTGGGAGAGTGAAGTAAAGTCCACATGCAAACCGACTTGGGTGTGTGGTATGAACCAGATCATGGTCCAGAGATCCAGAGTCAGCTGACATAAGAATAGCAGACATGTCTGAGCTGGGCAGATGCTAGAGGCCTTCATGTCCCCTGCTTTCCCTTTCACCATAGCTGGCAGTAGTTTCTGGCTTTCCTTGAAATCGTTCCCAATCGCCCTACTCTTGCACACATACCTGTGCCCTCTACTTGTGCCTTTTCCTGTAACTTTTCAGTTTCACATGTTCCATACAGTTTATGTTTGTATGTCTTTGCCAGTGCTGCTGAGTGGAAGCCCCTCACAGAGCCCCTCTTCACGAGTGTTAGGTGGTCAGGGAGACAGCATTAGCTACGTAGTCCTGCACTTAGCTGAATGTGGGTGTCTTGGAGCTGGGAGTAGCAGAGTGGGATCTGAAACAGTGCTGGAAGCCTCAGCGCCTTTCAGTCAGTCTCCTACATGTAGCATTGCTGAGCTCCCTGGCAGAGCAAAAACAACTATGTTTGAAATGGTAGGAGTTGTGGTGTTTAATTCTGGTTCTTTGTTGTTCCAGCAGCTACCTTAAGCTGTACCATAAACAGGACAGTTCAAAAAATAGAAGGACCTTTTATTTTCAGTTGACTTGGCTTTCTGACCATGTGTAAAGTAAAAGAGTCTACCCGGTGGTTTCCATGGAGACAGCCGCAGTACAGCACATTGGACCTTCTTTCCCTTGTTCCTCTTCCATTTCATTGTGGATACTCTTATCTTAGCTATCGCTCAGTCGAGAAGAGCAACTAACCTGGTTCCCTGGTCAAAGCTCTCATGGTGCAGTGAGCAGTGAAGCGTGGTGTAATCTTTGAATCTTTCAGAGCCCAGCTGTTTCTCAGAGTTTGATATGAGCTTCCTACCTAGCAAAGATCTTGACCAAAGAAGAGTACAGGTCTTTTGCATACTCAGACATGTTTGTTTTTGGTTTTTTTAGACAGGGTCTCACTATGTAGTTGAGACTGACCTGGAACTCACTATGTATCTTGGGCTGCTCTTGAACTCATAGTGATCCTTCCTGCCTCAGTCTCCCGAGTGCTGGGATTACAGGCGTGCGCCACCACTCCCGGCTTCTCAGACATGACTGAAAGAAACCAAGAGTAGTGCTGTGCTCTGGGATCCCATCTTGATACTCACCAAACACACTCATTTGTTTCTTCCTGAAGGACTGGGCCATCCTTACCCTCCAGACTCAACTATGACCTGCCGCCCCGCCAGCACCTTTTATTGGTGCTGAGGCCCTAAGAGAAACAGGCATGAGTTTTCAGATGCCCAGCAAAGAACACTAGAGGGATGGGGCAGTCATGGGTCACTTTGCAGTAACCAGATGGTTGGTGTTGGCAGGGATGCTGGGAGGTTGGGGTCACAGATGTGTTCTGTGTTTTCTTTCCCCATTGCCTGTTCCCTAGTTAAAAGAATATAGATTTGGTTTTGTATTTTAAACTGCTGGCCACGACTACTACTAGTTCTCTAGAGGACCCAAGAGAAGCTTGGGCTATTGGTGTGTGGCTTGAGGCTTGAGGGAACCAGTTATAAGGGTGGTTTGTGGGTGCCAGGAAGGAGGACTGTGCTGCCTCCCCACTGGCCACCTCTCAGTGCCTGGCATTTGTGTGTCTGGGAGAGAGAGGAGCTGTTTGCACCTTCTGACCCGGGGCAGGCAGAGCTCCATGCCAAAGCTCCTGGAGTTGCTAGCCTGCGCCACACTTGGCTGAATGTGGGCGTCTGGGAGCCGAGAATAGCAGAGTTGGGGTCAAGGGTGATGGGAAAATCACTTCTTGGCTGCTGTCCTGGATGGTGGGTAGCAAAGAAAGGAAACATGATGGGGGAAGCGTAGTAGAAATTTGGCAGCTTGGAGAACTATGTGCTTTGCTCCTGTTTAAGAACTGAGCTGTCACCAAGAGGCTTTGTGGTGCATTCCTTACCCAGGCTGAAGGAGGGTGTGTGTCTCCCTGTCTTTTCCAACCTGGCTGAGTCAGGCAGGTCTCAGGGTCACGGGAATTTCCTCAGGCCAGGTCTCACATACTACTACCCCCTGAGCCTGGACCCCTGGAGGTACACTGAGGACTCACTGCAGAGGCTTTGCTTAAGCACTTTTGCAGTTCCTTCATGTCACTCACTAAAGTACTGTTGGCACTTAGCACAGGGACTGTGTGGCTGAGCTATTAGAGGGGCTGGCTCTCCCATGATACCCTTCCTCCTCCCCCTGGGTGTAGTTCCTCCGGGACTCCTGGCAGGGCCACACAGGAGCCTGTTCTCAGAGATAAACTTCTGGGCAAGGCAGTGCACCCAGGAATCCAGCTTGCTCCTTGGGCCCCTTTCCTTCCTCCATTCATTCCGTGTTTCTCATGCTACCATGTGCCCAACACGTGATCCAGGGTGCAGTGAGCAGGGAACAAAACCCACAGCCCCCTCCTCATGAGCATATTGTGGTCAGGGAGAAAGCATTAGATAGCAGACATAGCATCCCATGATCCAGGGACTCAGGCAAGCGTGCAGGAAGAAGGATCAGAGTACTAGTGGGGCCTGGGGTCAGGGGATGCCTCACTGAGAAAGTGACACTTGAGACTGAAGGAATGAATTAGCTCTGGGCGTCTAGGAAGAGAGCTCATGGCCGGGGGCAAGTGCCAGGGTCCTGAGAATGGCTAGACTTGAGTGATGGGGCAGGAAATGAGTCAGAAAAACATGGGCAGATCGCACTGGGCTGTGTGATGCAGGGCCTTGGATGGGAGCCATGGGGCTGTGAGGTGAGGAGGGTAACTGGAGGGGCACTTTGGGGGCTGGTGCCCTGGACAGTTTGAAAAGACCTGGATTCTGAACATCTCTACAGATGGAGCAGATAGAATTTGCTGATAAACAAGGAACCAGGGACAGTGTTTTGTTTGGAGCCTGAATGAACTGAATTGTTATTGAAAGACCTTGGAGCAAAAGGTTTGGTGTGATGGTGGGTTATCAGGACTAGGTTAGACAGTCAGCTGTGTATCTACAGCTTGGTATCTATGTGCATTACACATGGGGTGCTGCTGAAACTTCCAAGGTACAGGAAGGTGGGCACTTTTTACTTCTCCACTAGAATGGTCCAGGGAACTTGACCACACACCTCTCTTTGGAGACAGGCCCTACTCTACCGGGCTGCCAGTTGGTGACTGGACCTGTATCAGGTATGCAGAGCAGGCCCCTTCTCAAGGATGACATACTCTGGGTGTTTGCCAGCGCCTGGGCTAGCAGAAGGCCTGATTAGATGCCTCTGCGGCATTGAGCCTTTAGAATAGAAGATGCTTCCCTTGAGCTCTGGCAGGGTGGTTGGAGTATATATTCAGGGCTAACCAGAAATGCATATGTGTGTGTATATTCCTAACATATTTTCTTAAGTATACTAAGATCTGAAAAGATGCTTTCTTGCCTGTGAGATTTCCACCTGAAGTTTCCTCCAACCAACACGGCATGGTGCTGGGAGCAGCACCCTTGAGAAGGGTGTTGTGATCTGTGCATGTGTTTAGAAAATTCCTGTGTGAACTGGTGATGGTCCCTGCTCTGCAGCCTGTGTACATCTGGTGTGGTACGACTCCACATCAACAGCTGGCTGGAAGTGAGCTTCTGCTTGCCCCACAAGATCCACTACGCCTCCTCAAGCCTGATCCCTCCCGAGGCCATTGAACGGAGCCTGAAAGCCATCCGGTGAGAACCAGCCTCTGCAAGGACAGTAGCTGCTGAGGTTTACCAATTATTTTTATTCCAAAAGTTATCTTTTCCTCTTTCTGCTACAAAAGTTGACAGGTAGAAGCCAGCTATTAGGAAAAACATGATTTTTCTCTCCACTTCTGACTAGATATCACCCATTCCAGGTTTCCCCTGAGCCCTCCCAGCACAACTTGGGTGAGTGGGGCTTCCTGCCAAAGTCCTTCCCTTGCACCTGAGCAGGACAGCCTGCTGGGAAGGTTGTGTGGCTGAGCAAGGGGAGAAGCATGGCCTTTGGGGGATTTATCTTTATAGTCCTTGCTGCCCCGTGGTCCTCTGCACTTGAGTCGGAAATCATGGGATCTCAGTTTCTTAATTTAACTGGTGTCTTAGCCAGGTGTTGTGGCACAAGCCCATAATGCTCAGGAGGCTGAGGCAGGAGGATCACTGCAAATTCAAGGCCAGCTTGAACTACATAGTGGGACCCTGTCTCAAAAAACAAAGAAAACAGAAATCTGGGCTTGGGGATCTGGTTTAGCAATGGAGCACTTGCCTGTCACAATGTGATCTCCAGCACTACAAAAAAAAAGAAAAATTGCCAGGCATAGTAATGCATGCCTATAATCCCAGCTCTCTGGGGGACCGAACCAGGAGGATTGCAGTTAGTGATTTACTGAGACTGCCTCAAAATACGAAACACAAAAAAGCCTAGGAATGTAGCTCATTATATGAAGGCCCTGAGTTCCAGCATCAGTATCCAAAAAAAAAGGAAGGAAGGAATCTGGACACAGAAAGCACAGCACTGCCTAGTCCTCCTACCCTCCCCTATTTGTGCTCCAACTCAGATGCCTTCCTTCCTGGGTCTTTGCGAAGCACATTTTTATGTAATTCTGTTTATAATATGTGGAGAGGATTTTGCTGTTCCCTTGTTTGGGACTCTCCTTTTTTTCTTTGATCAGCAAATGTGTAGTCAGGTGTTCAGGACCTCCCAGTTTTGTGCTAATTTGTTCTCTCCGAAGAGTAACAACAATCCCTGCAAATTGTATAAATGCCCCTGGACGCGGCTTGCTTTTCCTCTGATTCCTCCCTTAGCCTCTCTTCTCCACAGTTCAGTGCCTGTGGACACCAGCTGTGCCTTGATATGTTCTAGGAATATGCTTGGTGGGCTGGGATTTAGCGCAATGGCACCTCGCCTGCCTCATAAGCGCAAGGTTGTGAGTTTGATCTCTGATACCAAAACTAAAATAAATAAGTAAATAAAAAAAAAAGAGAGACAGAAGACACATATTTGGTACGAGGCACCCTGAGACTGCATGTCCTGACGACCTGTGACTCTTTTCCTTAGCCCATATCATGCCCTGCTGTTGCTCAGTGACGAGAAGTCCCTGCTGAGTGAGCTGCCTGTCGACTGTTCCCCAGCCCTGGTGCGGGTGATCAAGACCACATCTGCTGTGAAGAACCTGCAGCAGCTAGCCCAGGATGCTGACCTGGCCTTGCTGCAGGTAGGGAAGCTGGATGAGTAGAAGGGAGTGGCCCTGGGTACATCTGTAGCAGGCAACCCCTGAATAAAGGTGGTAGGCTCAGAAGAGCAGACTTCCAGCTATACCATGTTCCCAGGGTCTCTGTCCAGTTTAGAGCTACTGTACAGGCTGCCATGAACCTGGGTAGTTCGTAGAATGGCTTGAGGTTTTAGCATCGAGTCAGACCTGGATGCAGAGCTGGCTTTGTGAGGTAGCGGTGGGACGGCCTGTCTTGAGGGAAGGGGAGATGAGGCAAGATGAACTGTGGGATAAAGGAGGAAGGTCCCTGCTGCATTGGGCAGAGGTCTAGAGGATGGAGCACCAGGGCTGGATTATATGGGAGAGAGAGGAGCGTGCAGGATATGAACCAGCTCGTGGGAGTCTCACAGTGGCACATGAGCAAGCATGTGGGAAGTGAGAGCTGGAAGTTTTCATGGATCCTGAGCCTGATCCAGGACTGAACTGCTAGCCTCACCCTACCATGTACACATGCACTAGACGCTGTTCTTTATATAAGTTGCCACCTTCTTGTGAGCTATCTAGTAGGCTGTCCCTTGGCCACAGATCTGTTTGATGTGTGTGGTGGCTAATCGGGCAACCTTGGCTAGAGCTGTGGGTGCCATCCATGATAGCTTGAAGATAGTTCCAGGGTTAGCGTTAGATAGATGTCTTTGGGTAGCCAAGACCCAGGATCTGGTAGTGATGTGTGCCACTTGGCCACCTGGGGGCAGCAGAGGCCTTCTGTGGGACCAAGTTTCCTTAAAGGCCTAGGTGGTGGCTGCCTTCCCAAGGGGCTGAAGAGCAGCTCTGGTCTGAGGCAGGCCTGCTTAAGCCCTTCCAACTGAGCTTTATGGGGAAGGTTTGTCTGGGGAAGATGTTGGCATTGCTGGTGGACTTTGCGTCTTAGGCCTGACTGACACTCAGGCTGTATTTTCTTTTTGGTGGGGGTTTGAGACAGGGTTTCACTCTGTAGTTGAGACTGACCTGGAACTCACTATGTAGCCCAGGCTGGTCTCAAACTCACAGCGATCCTCCTGCTTCAGCCTCCCGACTGCTGGGATTATAGGCGTGCGCCACCATGCCCAGCTTCTCAGGCTGTATTTTTCAAGCGGCTTTTTTAATTCTCTTGTGCAGAAAAAATTCCTTCATCGTCTTTACCCAGACCCTTTGTCTGCTGTGTGAGGGCACTTAGCATATTCCAGCTTTGGTATTTCAGCCTGGTCCCCTGGGCTGGAGCTGGACAGGACCCAGTAATGAGTACATCCTGCTTTGTACCACAGAACACAGAATTCAAATACACCTGCAGAATGAGAGATCATGGTTTCTATTCTAACAAGTACTGGCTACGTGGTAGATAAGTGTGAAGGTTCGTGTGTCCCGTTTTAAGCTTTGAAAGGATCTAGCCACTCTTGACTAAGGCTGGCTGCTGGGTCTGTGCTGGATGTGTGCTTCCCCCTGCTGTCACAGTCCCTTGGACAAAGCTTTGATGTCCTTTTGATGTTCCCTTCACTTCCCTGCCTTGCCCGGCCTGGGATGGGGTGGGAGACGCAGTTTGATGTTGTTTCCCTCTGTACGCGCTCCCTGCTGGACTGGTGCCAGTCAGGGTTTGCTGCTGGTATGGCTGTGTGGAAGCCCTCTGGGGCCCAGCCCTTGTGGCTCACCCTGCCAGCCTCTGGGATGAGACTGCTGTTTTCTGTAGATGTTGCACAGGGAACAGCGGCCCCAGGGTAGTGTTGGCCCAATGGAGAGCAGCGACTTCAGGTGTAAGTGTCACGAGATGATTTAAAGTCACTCATGTTCCATCTCACCCCAAAGAGGATCACAAACAATTTGTCATGATAAAATAACTGCCAGGCATGGTGGTGCGCGCCTGTAATCTTAGCTGCTTGAGAGCTGAGACAGGAGGTTTGCAAGGCTGGGCTGGACTGGGCAACCGAATGAGACCTCTGTCCAAAATGAAAAAGGACTAGGGATGCAGCTCAGTGGTCTAGTGCTTGCCTAGAAGGTACAAGGTCCTCGGTTCAACCCAGTGTCAAAACAAAAAACAAAAAAACAAGCCAAACCAGTGCTTGCTTTGGCAGCATGTATACTAAAAAAAACCAGCCAGCCAAACAAACAAAATACAGGGTGTGGTAGTGCATTCCTGTAATCCCAGCACTCAGGAGGCTAAGGCAGAAGGATCACTGCAAGTTCAAGGCCAGCCTAGACTATATAGTAAGACTGTCTTTAAAAAAAAAAAAATTTATGAAAACTCAAATGTTACAGAATCCATACAGTCTCATTTCCAAGAGGTTACCACTGTAGGTCTTCCAGATTCTTATGTATGTGCATCCATTATTTTTCTTTTTTTAATTATTATTTTTTATGTTTATGTTTTGAGACCCAGATTTACTGTATGTTGCCCAGGCTGGCCTTGAACTCCTGGGCTCAAGCGATCCTCTTGTCTCAGCCTTCCAAGTACTTAAGACTTCAGGAATGTGCCATCATGCCCAGAGAAACACATGCCTGCTGAATGACAGCCCCCACTGACAACTGCATCCTAATCCCCAGGACCTATAGACGTGGCCTCCTGTGGGACTTTGCAGATGTTAGGAAGTCAGTGGTCTTGAGATGGGAAGATTATAATGGTGAGCCTTAAATCTTTTCACAAGAGACAGAGGGAGACTTAACTACAGAAGAGAAGGGAGCAGCGTGACAGAGGCAGAGACTGGAGTGATGTGGCTGCCAGCCAAGGGATGCCAGCAGCTGGTAGAGGCATGGGCAGAGTCTCTCCCAGAGCTTCAGCAGCACAGCTTTGCTAGCAGTTTGTATCTGGCCCTGTGGTACTGATTCTGGACTTACACCCTCTGGAATGGTGCTCCAGCTGCCTTGTGGAGAAAATGTTTTAGGGGCAGAGCGACCTGAGGGTGAAGACCACTAAGCTAGCTGGTGGCCGGGATAGAGAGAGTGGTCCTGTCTCTGCTTGAGAGCACATATCTGACCACTGGACTGGGAGAAAACAGGCAGTGATGGGACCTTCCCTAATGTTTATTTCCTCAGTGTTTGAGTTGATGGTGCCAGTGGGGTCCCATTTGCTGAGAAAATAAAACACATCCTCAGCGGCATTGCAGGCACAGTGGCCAGGCAGGGTGACTGACCACTGTGGAGGCCCACTTTGTGAGAAGATCAGAGCGGGTGACACAGGCAGAAAAGCCAGCTGCTTGGGATTTCACATACCTTATGAAGGACTACAGTACTGTGCTGTCAGATTTGCCCTCCCGCATGAGCTGGGAGTGCTCTGAGGTTTCCCCTGGAGAGGATTTCTGGCATCTTTGTCTCTGTCTCCTGGGGCCAAGGGCCCAGGAAAGCAGGATGGTGTGCTGTTCTCTAGAGAAAGGTGGGAACACAGGAATGAGTGTGGGGCCTCTGGGTGTGCAAGGGTGGTACATTGATTTATTTCTTGAGAAAGGCCGTGCTGGGGTCTTAGTGAATGTGAGGGGTGTACCTCTTCTGAGACATCTAACCAAGCCCTTGCCTAGCTCAGTCTACCCTGCTTATGGCTTACTGTCTGATCTTGACAAATGGCGCTGTTCCTCAGAAGCCAAAACAAGCTGGGCATTGTGGCACGCATCTGTAATCCCAGCACTTGGGAGGCCGAGGCAAGAGAATCAAGGCCAGCCTGGGCTACATAATGAGTTCAAGGCCAGTCTGAACTACAGGGTGAGACCCTGTCTGAAAAAAACAAAAACAAAGAAGGAGCCAACACAGCACAGGACCCTGTCAGGGAAATGCAATGCTGGTATCAAACTGCACAGAGAATAGTGGTGAAAAGGCTGTGTTCTGAGCACAGGCAGGAAACACTGCACTAGCTTTGCCTACCTTAGTGGTGGGAGGATAGTGAGGTGCTGCCCCACATCAGGGAAGAAAGCCTGGGGAGCCACAGCCACAGGGTCTGTGCTGTGTGAGTTTTGGGCCACTTTCCAGGGCAGAGAAGCCACAGCTTCCCAGACTCAGCCCTTCCAACTCTCGTCTTGCAGGTTTTCCAGCTTGCAGCTCACCTGGTGTACTGGGGTAAGGCTGTCATCATCTACCCACTGTGTGAGAACAATGTCTACGTGCTGTCTCCCAACGCCAGCGTGTGTTTGTGAGTACGACTGGTGGCCAAGGTGGGAGCCCGGAGTGGGGAAGGGTGAGCTCAGCAGGGCCTACCAGGTGGTGCCCCAGGTTGGCCAGGCACCAGAGGCTCCGTGGGTCCCTGCCAGGCTCTCATTTCAGCCTAATGGCTGGCTTCTGCTGTGTCCATATCCTGATTCTGATCTGGCTCAGAGCTGTGTAGCCCTGCCTATGTTAGGGGACCTCTTCCTATCTGAGATTGGAGAGAGATTCTGGTGACCCACGCACTGGCTCCTGCCACCCCTCAGGGGAAGGTACCTGGGCTCTGTCTACCTGCGTGTCTGTCCTTCTCTGCCTTGTCACTCAGCCTGTTCTGTCCTCCTTACCTCATCCTGGCCCACGCACTATGCTTCGATTCTCTGCTGCTCACTGAGGACCTGTTGTAAGGGTGCTGCCCTGGGTGTGCTGTGCTCACCACTGTCTGGCAGTTCCTGGGCACTTCTGGCTGATCGCCGTCTTACTGTCCCCAGGTACTCCCCGCTGGCTGAGCAGTTCTCCCGCCAGTTTCCATCTCATGACCTGCCATCCATCCTTGCCAAGTTCTCCTTGCCCGTCTCCTTGTCGGAGTTCAGGAATCCTTTGGCTCCCCCTGTGCAGGAGGTGAGTTGCAGAAGCCCCAGGAGCCTGGCATGTGGTGTGCAAGACAGATTGGGCACCAACTGCCTGGCCATCTATCCATGAACAAAGGAGCTTCAGTGTTGCCTCCCACTTTGCCTTCGTTTTGGGGAACTTGCTGTGCGAGTACTGTGTACCTGACAGGTAACCCAGGAGCCAGCTGCTGGTTACTAACCTGGTGCTGATGTACTCATTCGCATCCACAGAGCCCATTTTAGCTGTAGCGGGCATCCTTGGAGTTAGAACTGATTAAGCTTCGTCGGGCGTGGTGGCACAGGCCTGTAATCCCACCATTCAGGAGGCTGAGGCAGGAGGATCACTGTGAATTCAAGACCAGCCTGGGCTACATAGTGAGTTCCAGGTCAGTCTCAACTACATAGTGAGACCCTGTCTCAAAAAACCAAACAACAACAACAACAACAAAACTGATTAAGCTTGGTGGGAGAGTGCTGCCTTTTCTTGGGCTGACAGAATTCTGTTCTATGCCTAGGGGTTTCCCACAGAGGAGGACAGAAAGTTGCTTTTACCCAGCCTGGGATCTGTCCTCCAAGAGGACTTGTCATTTGCCCCCTTCTCCCAGGCTTTCAGCAGCCACAGTGTTTATATACTTTGGAGTCGCTGGGCACTAAAGTCTCCTCATCCGAGAGGACCAGCAGCAGATCAGCCTGGGTCAGCACCTGCCCACTGAGCTGGGACAGGCAGGTTGGGTAGGTTTGGCTGGCAGTGCCTCCTGAGGTGTAGGGAATGAATTTGCTGTTGGTGGCTTCCCTTATGGACCACAAGGTGTCACTTTTCACAGCCTCCTGTTGAGTTGATGATAGGGAAACTGCAGGCTTTGCTCCGGCTCTCCACTGAGAGCCTAGACAGGGTGAGGGGAACTTAGGCAAGGCCAGATGAAAGGACCAAGTGTAGGAGACAGGATGGATGTTCTCAGGGTTTTGTCTCCAAAAGCAAAGCATTTATCTTACTAAGTGCCAGAGCTACTGGGCAAAACCAGTCCTTAAAATCAAACCCTTTCCATTCTCAAGTTGTGAATAAAAATAAGATCTGGGTTTTTCAGCTCATTTAAATGCCGAGTGTGACAGAGTTCTAAATGTCATCTTTGACAGAGCCTTTAGTTTCCAGGAACCGTGCCAGGTTGTGCCAGCTGAGTAAGACATACTTTGCATCTGCACCCGCCTGGGCAGCATGGGGGAGGGGTGGCGGTGCTCCCATCTCAGTAAAGCTTCCCAGTGGTCTGCATAATGGGATGGGTTTTCCAGGACATGACTGAGCAGCATCCTCCCACCTTAGCAGGGGCTGGACAGAGCCAGGTTATGTTCTACCAGGTCTGAAGGACATGCTGTCTAGTGTTTATAAATCCCCTAGTTTTCCTTATTGTGGTACTGGGGATTGAACTCATGGCTTCACACATGCTAGGCAAACACTCTGTACCGAGATATACCCCAGCCCTTTGTTTTGTTTTGTTAGTTATTTTATTGTTTTGTTGTTTTTGTTTTTGTTTTTGAGACAGGGTCTCACTGTGTAGTTCAGGCTCATCTTGAACTCACTATATAGCCCGGGCTGGTCTCAGACTCATGGTGATCCTCCTGCTTTAGCTTCCCGAGTGCTGGGATTACAGGTGTGTGCCACTATACTGGACCATTTTGTTGTTTTTTTGAGATAGGTTCTTGTTATATTGTTCAGGCTAGGCTCAAACTTGTAATCCTCCTGTGTCTGCTTCTCAGACTGCTAGGATTTCAGGTGTGTGCCACCATGCCTGGCTACATTTTTTTTTTTTAATTTTTGAGACAGGTTTATCTTGAGCTTTTAATCCTCTTACCTCCCTCTCTGAGGAGCTGAGATTTCAGCTGTGCACCATGGTGCCCAAGTCCTTGCTTTATTTGTCAGTTTCATCTTTTTTTGTTTGGTTTTGACCATGGTTAGTGTGTATATCCCACTCCTCTCCCCAGTTAACTCGGCCTCCTCCCAGGAGGTGACCCTGGCTAGCAGCTCCTTGTGGACCCTCCCAAAGATAACCTTGGTGCCCTCTGCACCCACTTTGTTTCCCATGTCTGTGCCTGGGAGGTACTAGTCACTGGTGCTAGGGCTTCACCGGGCACAAGGTTCTGCTGCCCAGCCTGCTAACCCAGAGACAGAGAGCCTGGCCTTGGGGTGCCTCAATGATGGGGAAGAGCTTAGCTTCAGCCTAAGCAGGAGATCCCCTTCCCCTTCCTTCTGGAACCGCCTGTGTGCCTGGAGGAAACTTTCAGGTAGATCCAAGTTTCTGCTCACAGGGCAGCTGCTCACAGCTTGTTTCTGAACAGTATGTGGACTGGCCTGGCAGTGCACTGGAAGCTAGGTCCAGTGGCTGAAGGGAAAAGAGGCAGAACATGGGTAGCTTTAGAAGTCAGCTTAGAGAAGGAAGTGTACAGGGGCTTCCATGCCCCAGGTCTTGCTCCACCAGCAGACTCTGAAGCATCCAAGGCGTGTATGATCTGGGAACTCTATTGGCCTTGCAGCAGACGGTGTTGGAGCTGTCTGGGGTCATAGCTCCCTCCTGCTCTGTAAAGGGTTTGAGCCTTTACAGAGTGAGAAGCCAGCCTCACCCACTGCCTCATGCTTCCTTCTGCAGACCCAGCTCATCCAGATGGTGGTATGGATGCTGCAGCGACGGCTCCTCATCCAGCTGCACACCTACGTCTGCCTGATGGCCTCACCAAGTGAAGAGGAGCCCCGTCCACGGGAGGATGATGTCCCCTTCACTGCCCGGGTTGGCAGCCGCAGTCTCAGCACGCCCAACGCCCTAAGCTTTGGCTCCCCAAGTAGGATCCCACCCCTAGCATCTCTCTGACAGTTTGGGGAAACCCTGGGGTTGGCAGCCAAAGCCTGACATGAGCCCTGCTGGAGTGACAGCGGTGCCTTCACACGACATGGCTACTACATACACCCACCCTGTGCCCACATACACATACCCGTCCAGATGTGCCCTGTGGAGACCCCTCTCCCTGTACCACCATGACTTTTTTTAGAGTTTTGCCCTTCCTACCAGTTAGGAGGCACCTATAAGACTCTTATTTATTTTTTGGTACGGGGGATTGAACTCAGGTCCTTGTGCTTGCAAGGCAGGCCACAGAACCGCTGAACTAAATCCCCAGCCTAAGGCTCATTTATTTTTATTAGCACATATTTGCAGTACACGATGATTACATTCACCGTGGGGAGTTGGTACATGTATATAAACACCATGGTTCTGAGAAGGAAACAACTCTGCTCCTGGAGTATTCCATCAGGGGCTTGCTGGAATCGGAGCAGCCCATAGCACACACCATCCCTACTGGAACCCTCTGCACCAGCCTGAGGTCAGAGCAGGATTTCATACCATCACCACGGGGACAGTTGGAACCTCTGTGCCTCAGAGCCCATGAGGAGCCCCATCTATCCTGGTCACTTGTGGGAGGAGCTGCTGTAGCCGTGGTGTGTCCCTGTGGCCAGGTCCTAGGTGTGAGCAAGCCCCAGGGCCGAATGCTTTGGAAGTGCTCCTGTAGCTTCAGGCTTCATGTGAGCACTCTGTGGGTGTTCTGTCCTCTGTGTGGGGAGCGGGGAAGGATTCCATATGCCCTTTTGTTCAGGGCTCCTGAGGCTGGTCAGCCACTAGAAGGCGTGTGACACACCCTAGGGATGGGGTGGCAGTGAGTGGGGACAGATGGTATAACGGGCACTCCAGCAAGGCCCCTTGTGGCAGTGTCCTGGTGGGCTGGCTGCTGTCTCTGCCCTTGCTACAACCTCCCTTAGCATTCTGGAGTCCACCTTGACCTGTGCCTACCCGTAGCCAGCAGTGACGACATGACGCTCACTAGCCCCAGCATGGACAACTCCAGTGCAGAGCTGCTTCCTAGCGGGGACTCACCGCTGAACAAGAGGATGACAGAGAACCTGCTGGCCAGCCTGTCGGAGCACGAGCGGGCAGCCATCCTCAGCGTACCTGCAGCCCAGAACCCTGAGGACCTCCGCATGTTTGCCAGGTGGGGGCCGATTCTGGACTTGACAGAGAGTAAAGGGGGCATACTTGACAGGACCACATGCACTGACCACAGCTGGTGGTCACAGGGTGAGAAGGTATCTCATGTACTCAGGTGTGCCGTCCTGGTACCTGTGCGGAGGCAAGCACTACCACCCACCCCGTGTGGGGATGTGCTGCTGCCAGGACCCTGGGCCGGAGGCCTGGTGCTGCTGTCTTCGGGAGTTTCCCCGTTACTCGTCACTGGTTGAGAGGCAGCAGTGAGTTCTCACCCACATAGGGCTTGGCAGGGATTTACCCGGGATTCTTATCCCAGGGTGGCAGGGTATTCCCTCTGAGGGCGTATCAGAGTGACCTGGTGGTCTGTCACCCCCACTTTGACTTGGGGCCGCTGGATACCTGGTTGTCTGGGAGAGGTGAAGTTGTCAGTATTCACTTCGGACCCTTGAGAGAGCCACCTGCAGCTCTTCCAAGCTGCTGTGGCATCTCAGCTGCAGGTACCCACCGGAGCAGTGAATGGACCCAGTGCCCCACTTCCAACATGGCTCAGGCTTGGGTGGCCCTGGGTTTCAACTGCTGTGCCTCCTCTGACTCCCTTCAGGCCCACCTCCTGTGAGAGACCTCTGGGGCTGCCTCAGGTTAGGCTCAGGCCACCCTCTCCCTCAGGCTCCTTCACTACTTCCGAGGCCGCCACCACCTGGAGGAGATCATGTACAACGAGAACACGCGGCGCTCCCAGCTGCTCATGCTCTTCGACAAGTTCCGCAGCGTGCTGGTGGTGACCACTCATGAGGACCCCGTCATTGCTGTCTTCCAGGCCCTGCTCACGTGAGCCCAGGAGGATACAGAAGCTGCTGGCATGTGTGGGAGGGCATTAAGCTTTCCTGCCCCAGGGCTTCCTCACTACCAGGCCAAGCCCTCTTATGCCAGAGGCACGGCACAGGTGGAAGGCCAGAAGGGCCCTGTCCTCTGGCTACGGGTGCCTCAGTCTGGTTTAGCAGTAGCTGCGGGGCCACCACTGTGCTCTTACTCTCTCTGGTCCTTCCAACAGTCTTAGCATCACCGAGCTGTGGGGGACTTCAGGACTTACGTCTCCAGTGAAGTGTGTATCCTTCCACGCATACATGGGCTGTGTGTTTCTTTCCCTCTTCCCAACCCCACCCATGCTCCCTATCCCTGGCCCCATGTGGCCATCCTGGGAAATGCACAGAAACACTTGTCTGGTCCACTCCTTCCCCTCTGATAGCCTTCAGTATATGAGGTCCGGCCCATCCTACGGGGGCCCCCGCATCCCTCACTGGTGCTGTCGCTGTGCTTCATTTCGTGTAAGGAGTGAGGAAGTCAGGCCCAGCTATGCTGGGACAGCTCATGGCAGGTGGTAGCTCAACCTGCATGCACTGATTTGGGGTCCACACAGCCCCTAGGTCTCCCAACCTAGAGGAAGGAACAGCCCACACACACGCTGATTAACCAGGGGGCACTGGTGGACACATGGACAGCAGCTCATAGAAAAAAAGCATTTATTTGGCCTTTAAACAGTTAAAAAGCATAAGCAGGCTATTTGCTCAGGCCTGTATGTCCTGCTCAGCAACTTTATCCACCACACTCACCCAGGGACTGCCCCGGATATAGAAGCGCAGAGGCTTCTGGGCCCATTCTCCTGCACGCCCAATGCCAATGCGGGCTGCTGCTACCACAGCTGATGCACTGGGCTCCAGGGAGCCATGTTCTAGCCACACAGCCTCATCCTGGGCCAGGTCCCGCTGGTCAAAGCTCTTGTCAATGGCCAGGGCCTGGCACAGCTTGGAGGGGCCGCTGCAGAGCTCCCGGTCCTTGAGGGCACGGCTGATGGTACCCTTACGGAGGGTGCGACGAAGCTGCCGCATGGTCTCCAGGCCCCCCAGAGGCTCTAGTGCTCGAAGCAGGACACAAGCCCCATCCCCTGTGAGACAGACAAGCAGCTTAGAAGCACAGCCTCCCCAGCCCCCCACCTGCCCTGCTCAGGCACACATCTAGGGTTGTAAGGGTTGAGTGTCTGCTGTCCTGAGTAGGTTCTGTGTACAACTGCACACGCTGCCTTCTGGGTATGCCCTGGTGCAATGGGTCTGCATCTTATGGTCCAATCCCTCTACCTGCCTTTCCCCCACACACCTTAACCACAGGGTAAGTCTGCTTTCTATGGTGTCTGGCTGCCAACCACCAGGCAAGGACCCCCACCACTGCCCCCAAGCAAGAACTAGCTGGAGGCCTGAGAGCATGTGGTAGTGATGGGAATCGGCCTTCTTCCTCCGTGGCATCCCATGTTCTTCTGGTTGGCAGCAGCTCTGAGGCCAGCAAAAGGAGCCTGAGAGTCAGCCCTTTTAAGGGTGGGGTCACCCTGATAGGAAAGTCTTAGCCTATCCCAGATCCCTAGCCAGGCCTAGGGCTCCCATCTGCCTTACCTGCCCTTCATCCTTCTTGGCAAAACTGGGAAGCTGGCTGCAGTTCCCACCACCGTGCAGAGTGCTGGGAAAGCCCTGTCTGGTGACTCAGTGGAAAGACTGACCATGAACACCCTCTGCAGGAATGGCAGGAGATGTGTACAAAACTCTCCACTTCCCTGGGGGATCACCTGTAGCCCAGCCTGCTCTTACTGGCCCAGGCAACTTCAGGAGCCCATGAAGAAGATGCAGGTGTCCATTCCCCTGCTCTGCCCATCTGAGAAGGCCCTTATGATTCCTGGTCACAGACCGTGATCACCCGTACCCTGGCCAGGGCAGTACTGATCCTCAGCAGGCTGCTCTCCTGGGATCCAGAGACTCAGCCGAGTAGGCATTCCAGCTTCCATTCTCCGGCTCTGGCCACGTGGGCCTCCTCTCGGCTCTAGCCTCCACATTAGCACCCAGGACCAATCCTGAGTAGATAAAGCCATGCCCTCCAGCACAGCCTGTAGTTAGCAAGCTGCTGGGTTGTGAGCAGATAGCCATTATCCAGCTAGTTTTCAAAGAAATTCAAGATGTAATCAAGGTTGGGAAAGTTTGGAAGTTAGTCTTTCTGATTCCCACTCTGCTTTTAGTTTGTCACCTTAAGTTCCCTGTGTGACCACTTGGTGCCACTTTAGTAGGAGTCCCTGTGAGTATAGGACACCTGGCCCTTGCTCTCAGCCCTCAGGGCGACCTGCAAATGTGTCAAAGGAGTGGCTCGAGTGCCACTGCCACACCCCTTGGTACCGGTACAGGATACAATCAGAGTACTCTGTCCTCACAAAAACACAAGACCTTTGACCACTTCCTGTCAAGTGTACTGGTTCTCGGCCCTTGCTTCTGTGCACCCCCTGCTCTAGTCTTGGCAGTCTGACCATTCTGGGCCCCACAATCCTCATCCTCTTCTCAAACCCAGCACTTTGGCGTCTCCACATGCTGCCCCTCCTTGAGCAGACCAACAACCACGTCCCCTCCACACCACTGCCCCCCATGACTCAGTCTGACCATCTGCATCCATGTGGGGTCCTATCTCCTGACCTAGATGTTCTAGAGCATACTGGTCATGTTCAGAAAGTAACAGGTCCTATCGCCGCCTCTGCCTTGTTTACTGTGCCCCCAGAAACAGCTACTTCTCTCCCTAGCTAACCATAGCACCAACTGTTTCTGGGCTGTCTCTTCCTGAGTTCAGCTGTGCCTCCTGTGAGGGTTGGTTTCATTACAGTAAGCTCAGATCAACTCTCTGGTGTAAAAACAAGTTGAGAGGAAGGGCTACCACCATTTTTTGATACTCAGTTACCCAGTTTCACTCAAAATTTGTCCTGTGCCAGCCATACAGCCAGTCTTACAGTCTTGAGTCCTCCAGCCCTCCAGCTGTGTATTCTATACTTGTGCAACAAATGTGTGACCCTACAACATGCCAAAACCATGAACTCCTCACTGGCCACTGCTGGCATTTGCTCATCTGGGAGTAGTAGGAAGAGCCCAATGCTGGGACTGGCTAGGAAGGGTAGGGTAGACAGACGGGATTCCTGGTCAGCACTAGCTTTGGCAGGGTGGTGACTGAGGCACTAGCCTGCCTCCTGCTCCCAGTCACAGGTTACCCAGGGCTACCACACTGACCAAGGACAAAGCCAGACACAGAGGTAAGCAAGTTCTCCCAGAAGTACCAGACCAGCATCTGTGCTGATGACCTTGAGGGCCATCAGGTGGAAGCCATCCTGTGCACTGGGAAGTTTCAGCATCCCTGGCCTCCATCCACTAGACGCCAGTAGCACCCCCAGCTATGATGACCAGAAAATGTCTCCACACATTACCTATGTCCTCTAACAGGCAAAATTGCCTTTGGCTGAGAATCTAGATTCCCAACAGGCCAGTTGGAAAAGCTCCCGCGTGAGCATAGCTTAGCTATCCCAAACTAAAGTCATCCTCATTTTCCCAGGACTATCACCTTCCAAATCCAGCTCAGTGCTCTGATACGAGCACCGAGCTCTGGGAGAAGTGGCAGCTCATGGAACCTGTATGCTCTATACCCAGGTCTGCCTCACAGCCTAACCTGTGGGGCCCAGCCCCTTCAACCTTGCCCGATCATTGCAGCCAGAGCTCCTGACACCTAGTCTTCACCTTGGTAATGGCAGCTCCTTGCTCAAATGCCTGCCCACCCATCCTTCTAGGGTCTCCCCAGCTGACAGCTGATGGGGCCATGCCAGCCCTTCTGCTCCCTTATGCCCAGCACCACTCACCTTGGCTAGAGACATTCATGCAGAAGTACATCCCATAGATGAGGTAGACATACAACGTTCCAGGCTTCATGAACATACTGCGATTGCGGGGGGTCTGCCGGCCACCCCTGGAGTGGGCAGCTTCATCCTCTGGTCCCAAGTATGCCTCGGTCTCCACAATGCAGCCACGGAGCTCTGTGCCATCACCAAGTCGCCGAACAAGGACCTGTGGGCAGTCAGTATACTCAGGCCAAAAGGGATGGAGCCCTGCACACCCTGACAGTCCCCACGTGATCTGCTTTCCTCAGCTCAAGATGTGCCAGGCCTTTCCACCTAGCTCCTCCATCCTTCCTTTCTCTTGCTCCTGCTCATATCCTGAATGCCACCATGGAGGCCATCAGCACTGCTTAACTATCAGACTTTGAGCCCTGTTCGGTGAGGTCCTGACCACAGGTTGCAGCCAGCTTAAGCTCCAACCAAGACTTGATTCAGTGAAGATGCCCTGTGAAGGTCAAGCTTCAGGTCCTCTCAGGCTGCCTGTTACTTCACCTTCTTTCCTAGTTTCCCTTAAGGGAACCGTAAATACTCAGCATGGCATCAGAGAGTGTTGGGCTGGGGAGTTAGCTCAGTGGCACTGTGCCTGCCTCATAAGCACAAGGTCCTGAGTTCGATCCCTGGTATATAGGGGGAAAAACAATCAACTGATAGTGTAGAAGGCACAGGGCCACAAGGGTGTCCCCACATAGCCACCTAGAATGTTCCAGAGCCTGTGGAGTGCCCTCAGCCCGGCTTAATCGAGTAGCCAGCATCCATTCCAGGGTCTGCAGCTCCAGGACTGACTAAACCAGGGTTCACAGTGAAGCTTCAGGGACCAGCCATGACCACAGCACTTGCCCATCCCTTAGATCAATCGGACAGTCAGGCTACTTTCACCTCTGCCGAGGTAGCCCATGGTGCCTTGAAAGTATCATAGGACAGGGTGGAGGAATGAAGGTCAATGACTGTCCTAGAAGCCTAGAAATCCCTGCAGGCATTCAAAGCACCAAAGATAGGCGTGAACACTTTGGGCACAGCCAGACTATCTCCACGAGAGAGGGTGGCCCCATCCCATTTTTGCAGGTGCTCAAGAGGACGCATTCCTCTGGTGGTGTCACTCTGGAGGCTCCCACACCTCCAAAGGGACACACAGGGTAAACAGCCTCTTCTCTACTGTACACCATCTTGTTCTCCACAGGCTCAAGTAGGCAGGGGCCTAAGGGGAAACTAACACTCTGAGGGTACTAAATGGACCAATGCGCTGTGGTCACCGCCCTCGGGCTCTTAACCCAGTCGCGCGCCATGTGCTGTTTCGTTATCACCAACACGCCTGTTATTAAGGTATTAAAAAAAAGCATCCTATGAATGCTAAGAGCATCCTCACAGGAACAATCCTGTCCCTTCTCTATTAGGTTAGGGTCTGCTCCTTTTAGTACCTAATTCCCAGCACAAGTTTTCCTATCAGTCACAGAAACTCACTCTCGTTGGCTATTTCAATCTAAAACCAAGCTTGTTAAAGGACATATAGGCTAAGGAATCTCTAAGAGAACCAGAAAGCCAGGATGGGTTTTGGCATCCCCGAACAATACCCAGTGGTGCTCTGCTTAGACCCAGCCAAGACCCAGTTGTGCACACATGGTGAAAGGCTGCTCCACAGGCCACCCCAGGATGGGCTGTGGATGGTCCCTGCTTCCCTTTCCAAGTATGCCTGGCAGGCCCCAGATCCTGACTTGTATGGACCCACAGGGGCTACTGAAAAGGCAGCACTGGCATGATGTACCACAGCGAGAAGGTGGATTTCCCAAGGGAATTCTGGTGCTGGCAACCCATTGTGGCCCGTCATAGCTCCTATACGTCTAAAATTGTCATTAATGATACAAGCAACCCCCAGCAGGAGCACCCTGTTAGGAGATGGCGTGGACAAAGGTGACCCTTCAAAAATGCAGGGGCCAACACTATAGTCCTTGCAAGTAACATGCCTTAAGGGGGACGTGGGTTATCTCAGGTAGACCAGGGACAAAGCTCTTATTTCCCAGGTGAGGAAGGCTAACAATGCAAAATTCTTGTCACTGCTCAGAACAGGAGACTGACAGTGGCTGCCCAGCCTCCACCAGAGCCAACAGCATTAGCAATCTCATTCTTTCCAGGGACCCCAATCTCTGAGATGAACTATACAGGGACCAATGTAGGCAAAACAGCCACCTGCGTGAGCACAGGGAGGGGCAACAAGGGCCAAGTCCCCAGTGGTAAGATGGCTGGGTGCATGACGCCTGCGTGGTGACTAGCACTTCAGCGGAGACCATGTTGCTGCGTGTACATTACCTGTCCCAGTAATGCCCGGGCCAAGGAGACTGCTGGCTGGCCAAAAAACTCTGACCCCAGCCTGGCAGAGTGGTCCTTGGGACTCTGAGAGAAATAGATGCTGCGTTGAGAGCCCAGGGCTAAGGATGGTCTCAGGCAAGACTTCTTAGAGGAAGGCATCCAGGCTGTGTCTGTTGGGCTCTGCTGCTGATCTGCCTCTGCCAGTTTCTTTTTTTGCCCCATCCTTCAGGAAAGCTGTAATGGGAAAAAACCAAATTAAGTATCTGAGTAGGAGGGGATAGATACTTGTGTGGTGAATCAGGCTCCGGTAGATGGACTTCCGGTAGATGAGGCCAGGCACAGTGGCACATCCTAAAATCCCAGCTACTCTGGAGGCTGAAGCAAGGGACTGGAAGTTCAAGGCCACCCTGTTTCAAAAATATTTTTAAGCGCTGAGGATTTAGCTCAGTGGTTCCACTGCCTGCCTTGCAAGCACAAGGACCGGAGTTTGATCCCCAGTACCAACCCCACCCCCCCAAAAAAAACCTATGGGGTGAATGGGAATATAGCTCAGTACTCCCTGGATTCAATCCCTAATATTGAAAAAGGGGTTAGGGAGAGGTGTGACTGCTGTTTCTTCATCAGCAAAGTGGGGGTGCCCACCTCATGTGTTGTCATGAGGCACAAGCAGAATGCCACTGCTGACATTCAACTTCAGGAAATGATCACAGGTGGGCTGCAGGTGGCGGCAGTATGGCCACTCTGTCCCATATCTCCTGCACATATGGAAAATGCACAGCTTGGGAGCTTGGGCTGTAGGACCTGGGGAGGGGACAGTTGGTGCTTAAGACTTGAGCATGAGGGCTACGATCTTACCTTTCCCATTTATTTATGTGAACCCAAAGGAAACTTCTCAGTTTGTTTCTGGAATCCTGCTGTTTGTGTCTAACCTTAGGCAGGAATTTTAAAAAGCAGCTCTGACCTGGCACGACCTGGACAGAGCCTGGCAGAGAAACAGACTCGGGTTCCTCTTCTCAACTGCCTGGCGGATAGGTGAGCAAGGTTCCCACCTGCCAGATGCTTGGGAATGGCCCAGAAGGCCTGGCACACACGGATGGACATCTGCCAGGAACCATCCCAAGCGACCCGGGCAGGTCCCTCATAAGTGCCCAGCGCTGCCTCACTGCCCAGAGTATGAGAGTAAGGAGCCAGGAGGGCAAGGGATCTTCTGAGAGGCGAGGTTCTTCACGAGGCTAGGGAAATCTGATCACACATCTTCAGCTGTTGTGGGCCAAGGAGGAGGGGGAGACAAAGGCGACCGGTGAGTGGTGGGGGCCGCTCCAGGACTGGTCTTCGGCCATACGCAAGAAAAACCCGTTATTTTTAACATCCGTGCTGACGTTCACGTTGGACAGAGAGCCAGTCCGCCGGGAATGGACACTGACATTACCGTCTTTGCAGCCTGGCCCCTTGTGCCAGCTCGCTGCGAGCTCAGACTGCGAGACGCTGAGGCCCGGATCTTACCCGGTTTGGCCCTTGGCCCGCCCTACGACGTCGGGTCATTTAAGGCTCTGCCCAAACCCCCCTGAAGTTGTGGGATCGTCCACAAAACCGAGGCCCGGTCGGGACTGGCGGGCACAGCAGGTCACAGTCACCAGTTTCGCCCCAGGCCACGGGTAGGAGGCAGCCACTCGATGCCGCTGCCGCGGGAACTCACCTGAGACCAGCGCCGCACCCACAACCTTCGGTCCGGA